AGTAGCTAGTCTTATGTGGAATTCTGTTTTTTTCCTATGTAGTCTTTTCGTGTCAACTATGAGGGCAAGAGCTTTGCCCTCTTTGTTTTTGTGTCCTTAAATCCAGTCCACTGACGAAAAAATGATTGTCCTTTTAGAGATCTTACAGTTCAGTAGGAGAGAGAAATAATCAAGGATGCTGTGGTAGCAGAGAAGATAAAGAAATAGGACCTGACACTTGATCCAATATTTAAATAGATTTGGGAGCTCCTCAGTGGAGATGCGAGGGAGAGGATATTTCAGGTGAAAGAATGGCATACTCAGGGTCTCTGGAAGCATGATGAAAGTCGAGACTGGCCAGCTACTGAAGGGCTTTGTAGACATGGCTGAGGAATTTGGACTTTTTTTTTCCTTGAGCAAAAATGATGGGACCTAATAAGAAGTCTTAAGGAAGGACGTCCACTTAGTGTAATCTAATTTTTGTCTCAGGTAGATCACCTTGCATTTTGGAAGATGGATTTAAAAGAAAACTAAATTAGAGGCAGCGAGAGCAGTGAGGAGGAAAAAAATGATAAGGGCCTCAAATCAGTTTGTGCCAATAGGGCTGTGGAAGAGGGGACAGATAAAAGTGGTAGTGAGGAGCTACAATTGGCAGACTAGCTGTTCTTATTGAATGATAGCTTGAGGTGGACGTGGTGAAAGGAAGAACATGTTTTTGAGCAAAAGATGATAAGCTCAGTTGTAGGTTGCTGAATTAGAGACCCTTGTGGCAATCCAGGATCCTTGCCAACATTTGAATTTATGGGAGGCACTTGAGAGTTCTGGGATATGAATACAGATTAAGAAGTCTTTGGGAATGGGTATTGTTTGAAGCACTATGTGTAATTGCAATCACTCGAGGAGGGTAGCATGTAAGTAGAGAATAAAACTATAATCAGAATTGTATGAAAAAGCAACATTTGAGAAACAGAAAGAATTTGAGCTGGAGAAATAGACTGAGAACGAGTGGTAGGCAGAAAATCACAAGGGAATGATGCCATAGATGCAAATATTGGAGAGAGGTAGAAATTGAGGACTAAACATCAGAAGAAAGGTCAGACATAATGTATAAGGGGGAATTATCACACCTGAGTGTTGAAGTTTACATGAGAAGCTTACAAGGAGTTAGTCATACGTCTCTGTTAGTATGAGATAAGGGATGGCAAGAAGTGAAGTTGCAGATGGCCCAACATAGATTTTGTTTTTTTAAGCCAGCTGTACTTCTGATCTGGAGAGTTTAAAAATCTTTTTACTCAGCTATTTAAATTGACAGGACAATTAAAAAATATATTCTTTTCTATTACTAGTTTATTTTATTTCCAGCTTATTTATATATGCAGTTTTGAGAATTCAAAGTAAAACAGTATTTATTGTTTTTCATATTTGGGTTATGCTATAAGAAATAGCTTTCCATCAAAATATTCCATTTATATACTATGGCTAATCAGATAAACTGGCCATAGACTAACTGGTAGATAGACTGTAGTGGCCACCACTAACTCTAGCCAAAATTATCTTGTATAACTTAATGTCACAAAAGAAACTGGTCAAGGAAATACAGGTGAAAAATATTTTAGAAGCCATTTTCTGGCCGTTGCTTTATGAGCACAACACAATCATCCATATGATGATCAACATGTGATTACCACGTAAGTATTAGTCATGAGATGATTAAAGTGTTCTTGTTTAAACTCTCATTGATAAAGAATGATGCCCATATATTTTTCATTTCATATTAGAATAATGCATACTCCATTTTTTCCTGTTTTTAGGGGAAAGAAACACTGATGACTCCCATCCCCTTTGCTAGACCACAGGATTTAGGGCCAACAATTGCTATTGTTACTAAAGTCAACCAGATCCAAGATCATCTGCTGAAGAAACATGATATTGAGCTCTACATGCACTTGAACAGACTAGAAATTGCACCACAGATATATGGGTTGTAAGTATTAAAGTTTAAATTTCAACTATACCTAATTATATAGTAGTTTGTAATTATGTGGTAATTTCTGTATGTCCCAGATCCCTAGAAATAAGAATAAGAACTGTTCTAGCTGCATTTTATCTCACATCTCTTTTGTGGTCTTATGTGCCATCCTCAGTGCTTATTACTTTCACATATGGTATCTTATCTAATACTCCCACCGACCCTGTTAATTGGGTATTATCCATTTGTTACAGATAAAAAAGCTAAGGCTTAGATTCAGTTTACACAAATCACACAGCGAAGTCATAATTTCAAACCATAATTATGTAGGATTGGCTATGTAATTTGCAGAGCCCAGTGAAAAAGAAAGGTGCAGGGACTCCTTGAAACAAATTAGTAAGAATTTCAAGATGGCAACAGCAGATCAAGCCATACATTCTGAGAAGTTGCATGGGTTATACACACGTCAAGCCAGCCCCAAACACAAACGGTTATGTAAGGTGTTGACATTCTTTCCGTTTTATCATACAGTCATCTTTTGCTCTGCCCTCAGAAGTAGATTTCTCTCAGTAAAGTAGAAACCTCTCTCAGGGAACGTAATGTATCAATTTCTTCAGCCATGTAACTTCTGTAACATGCCATAGCAGAAGAATAGGAAGCCAGTCACTCCTTAAATGTATGTGTGTATGTGTGTGCATGTGTGTATTTTTTCAGTGGCTTGTAAGGTATGTAGGAAAATTAGAAAAATAGTGATTTTAGTAAATATGAATTAGCTGTGTAATGCTACAGACAACAAAAGGGTCCTTTATACTGAAATAATAGAACATTCATATCTAGTGCTGGGCAGTTTTTTGGTAGATATTTCTGTAAAGCCTAATTCTCCATTAAGTAGAACATGAAAAATTGAGGTGATATTATTGAGGTATTACATAATAGATGCTCAATAAATATGAATTCATTACTTGAATTACAAAGAATCTCAAGTCAAAAGTTTAGGACCAGAGCAGGGGCTGTTTATTTAACCCAGCA